AAAGGCTGCACCGAATGCAGAAGTGTGTGAATGCTGAAGGGAACTACTTTGAAGGTGATGATGTCGCGGAGAACTGATTCTGTAAGTACAATGATTTATTCGACCAGTCTCCTTTTTGTGTGTGTGTGTCACACCTCGTATAAATATATGTTTGGTATCTAGCTTAAAAATCCTTAACCGGCTTTTATTTTCGCTATTCATTGGTCATATACTTCCAGTTACAAAAGCGTTTTAAATGACAAAAATATTTATGCTTTGGCAAATACAAATAAAAAACATTTCCGAAAACAGAAAATGTGTGCAATTTAATAAGCCGTACAAGGAAGTCATACGGTGTCCATATCAGATTTTTAAAAAAAATATAATCATACAGTCATTAATTAATATGCTCAATGGTTTAAAAGCAATAAACGCACATCTTAATAATTTTAATTTTTTAATTTTTTAAGAATGAATACAGCTGATATAAATTAAATGTACCGTAATCTGTACCAGTGAGAGGCATTGTTACTATATGTTACTATATAACTTGTGATATAAAAGCAAACTCCTTGGCACTTTAAATAAGTGTACTTGATATCTGTGATTTAAAAGAAATACACGCACATAATTAATCACTAAATAAAGTTAAATATTTATTTATAATCACTAAATAAAGTTAATATTTAGTTGTTAATGTGGTGCTGTGACTCATCTCACGTGCCTGACTGTGACATCAGAATAAGCCCACGAAATTCATCGTGACAAGGAGAGCAAGATTGCGCCTGTCGTTGACAAAGCCTTGAGCACCATACAGGTGACAATACGACTTCGCTCAGTTCCGCCCCTAACTTTGATGGAGAGCACCTCGAGGGAACAGGTCCGAGTCTCTACCACCAACCTTTCGAGAAAACTTTCGGCTCGCCGCATATTTAGTGACCCCATGCCACACAGACACTACAAATTTACAAATATCCATGCCTTCTCCTGGATTCGAACCCTGCTCTTCGGTATCGCAATAGGCTCCCCTAACCGCTATACCGTCTGGGCGGTTTTATTTTTTAATTATGTGTCTAACTACTGTCATAATTAAAACTCATTTAATTTTATAATAAATCCACTGACAATTCTTATGAACATTTGCGCTTTGTTAAAATTAGCAAAAGCCATTTCTAATGTAATGTATCTAATGTCACTTAATTTGTATAGAATCATTTGTCTTCTCAATTTTCATGTATGTTTTACAATTTTAAAGTTTTTAACATTTCGAAAATTTTAATGGTAATTATATATATGTAAGATATAACAAAATACGAATGGCTGCTTTAAAAATTCATTGGTGACCTCAAAATTAACATTCTCTTCCCCTAAATTCATTTGTTTTCCCAAATTCGAGATCATTCCAAATTACATAACACTGTTTGAAAAGGCAACTAAAACTAATGTTGACCAATCATAGCTTAGAATACTCTGTGCACCTACGAAGTATAAATATTGAGTCAAGAGCACTACTGTCTGTCTACGGTAAGAACAGCTCCCGCCACGGTGTCTGGCGAGTGGCGGTCGCTATAGCAACAGGGCTAGTATATTTCAAATAGGGACGAACCAAGGGTTGCTTTATTGTTATTTTGTTTTTGGCGACTGTTGGCTTAAGGGAAGTTTATCATTCGTCTTCTCGGCTTCATTCCAGCTGCACGCATCTTTTCTTAAGCCTTATATTATTACTATTAGCTCTTTTTATTCTCGTTGTTATATCATTTGTGCTAGCATTTGCTCAAATTCGCTTCTATTTAGCTTGATTTTCGTAGTGCTTTGTTAATCGCCAATTTTTTAAAATGCCCTTCCAGTTTAAGAAAGGTCAACCTTTAAAGTCTCAGTTACGTCAAATCGTGTATAGTGTCGCAGAATTTTGCGCTTCTGAAGTTTCGAATACACTTGGAAAGAAATGTAAAAACCCTGCTAATCATAAATGTGAAATTTACGATTTTGACAAATGCGTTCTACGGCAGACAATACAAGACTTTTACATCAAAGAAAAGAAAGTGCCATCTGTGCGGAAATTACTGCCTGTCTTGAGGCAAAAATTAGACTTCCCGTGGCAAAAAGACTCTTTGTGTAAAGTTTTGTTCAATGAATTTTCGTTGGAATGCGTAGAAAAAAAAAAAAAAAAAAAAAAAAAAAAATCTTATCGAAAGACCTCACATTGTATTTTGGAGGAACAATTATTTACGCGAAATGAGAAAACTCAGAGCAAGTGAACGAACGCCACATCGTTTACATCGATGAAACATGGATTGACAGCAATTTAACTTTTAAGAAATTTTGGCAACATGATACGGTTTTGGGCGCACAGCCAGTTTCCCTTAGCAAGCCCTCCATGGAGGCATCCCTCCTCTTAGGCCTGGAGGCTTTCCGTAATCATATAAACCACTCAAACCACTGGTAATTAAGGAAAAAGCAGTTTTGATTTTAATTCACCTTCTCTTCCTTCCGCCATTAAATTAACCAGCTTTTGGTTTAGTTTAAAGGTATGAGAAAAGAAGAAATGTTCGCAAAAAGTATTTATTGAGAGCATGGGTATGTAAAAAAATGCTTTTACTTTCAAGATGATTCTATATACATTTAATGATGAAATTTTTAGTCATTATTAAAGCACAAGCAATAAATTAACAGAAAAATTTTGAAATAAAAACATAGCAGAACGTCATTTAAAGACTGAAGAAATTGCTTTGAATGTTCACGGTAGATCAGCTAGAGGGGAGAACTATAAAAATTAAATTTATTTTATATTTATGAAGTGCGTCTATACTATATAAAGAGAATGGGGCAATCAAGTAGATTTCTAAGATGTCATCTATGATTTTGCAAGCAAACAAATAAACAAAAAAGAAGCAAAATAATAGCATGATTTTTTTAAATGTCGAAATTAAAATTTTTCTTCAAAAAATAAACACGGATTTTTTAAATTTATTTCCCTACAAGTTTATTTTTACTCATTGTACATCTAGAGGGATTGCAAATTTAGCGACTTGTACCTCACACGGCAAAAACCAAAGACCGTTTCTTGACCTGCAAAAGCTTTATCTACTACGCCATCGAATTCATTTTCGGAAATTGGATGTCGGGGTCGACGCAAAGGGTCAACAAGCATTTTACTTGAAACTAAAACAAAATGTGAATATCGCCAAATCATCTTTAAATGCGCCAAGGTGGCAAACTCAGAAGTAAGTCTTCAAGACACCCCTACGAAAAATGGGTTAGGGCTCGTTTCTACGGCAACAGACAGCTGCAGACAAACTGGCGAGAGCTGTTCTTACCATAGACAGATAGTACGCTTCCCTTTTTTCCTAACTTCTGCCATGCAAACAACTCCACGCCGCTTATGCTTCCTTGCCTGAAATGACGTCGTAGCTTTTTATCTGTGTATATAAACATTTTTTGCATTCAACTATGATCGAAAAGTAATTTGTCTGCCAAAGAAATAATTTTTGATGGTTTTGCCAATGTCTTATTCTTGCCTTACCCACCCACCCATGCCTACAGCCAGAATTTAAAAGTACCGGATTCATTGACTGCGCACTTAGTATATTACATATATATGTAATGAAATATTACATGTAATGAAATATTATGAATATTCATATAATGAATATTAATATAAGGAAATATTTAATGTTTTTCTAATATTTTGAAATTTTTAATGACTGCAATCTGAAGTTCCCAGTTTCTAATATTTTGAAATTTTTAATGACTGCAATCTGAAGTTCGCAGTTTCCAATATTTTTATTTATTTTATTTGCTATTTTAAACAGTAATAAACAAGACAGAAGACGTACTGCGGGAGGGTGATTGTCCGCGCATGACCGGAAGGGTATACATCTTAGGAGACAACCAATACCAAGATATAATTTTTACGATGTCTGCCAAAAATGTGGTTGGAGTTTTTTTAACAATCGCCCTTAAAATCTAATTAACGTCTTGCTAAAATAAAAATCGAAAGTTTTACTCTAGTTCACTGTTTTAGAAATAGCCAACTGGCTGACTTCTTAGAAATTTGAAGAAAATAACTTACATTCAAATTTGCTAAATTCATATGTTTTACTTTTTTTGGGGGAGGGGGGGATTTTACTCAATCTGTAAGGAATGCATTGTTAGCTCTTTCATTTCTCTTTTAAGTAATGATTCAGTTTTTAAATGTTACCAAATTCGTAAGTGTTATGATTAGAAAACAGTAAAAACTTTTACATAAATTAAGAAATTTAAAAAAAAAAAAAAAAAAATCTGAAAGTTTTCAGACTTTATTTACATTACGTTTTTCTTGACGTTTTGTGGGTTACCTTTATTTATTAAAAATCATGTTCTTGCACTTAAATCATAAAATTCAGTTCAACAGCAATATCGCAAAATAATTTTAAAATGAGTGTATCTTTAGAATTTCCGATACACAGTCTCGCGAGCTGGAGGAAAAAAAAAAAAAAATGTTTTTTTCGTACAGTGTTAACATTGCTCGCTTTGAAATCGTTGAGTTTGTTAATCAAAAATTCCTTAAATTTTTACAAAATATGAAATCGGTAATAAAACAAATTCTAAATTCGGGCTTCCAGATGTCCATATTCGGGTGGAAATGTACGTTATTCAAAATTGGATGGCTCTAGGTACCGTTGTTTTATCACAGTGCGAGAAACATACATACATTTATGCCGATTCTCTATTATTTAATTTTTTAAATATAATACAGGGCTGTAATATTTGGCGGCAACAGTTTGGAAAGTGAACCGACATTTATCGTGAACCAACGCAAAATGCCAAAACGAAATTAATAGCTCTTCTGGGCTAACGCCCTTTGGGCTAAAAACATACCCTACAGTTAACTATCAGGTTAAGCTGTAGTTTTGTTGAATAAAAAGATTGTTAATTAAATACTCTGGGTTTGGCAAGAAGTGGCAAAATGTGCGGTGAACTGGAGAAAACCGAACATTGGTGGGCAATTTGATGCGTATGTATAACTTGAAGAATAGGGAGAAAAGCCATAAAAAGGTTGTTCTAGCCTTGTACGTGTTCTCAGATTAGACTCTCTTTGAGGTACGACTCTGATAGTTCAGACTTTGCCATATTTCTGAAGAAAGTGAGGCAACAAAGGTAAAATTATTTGTGCAGGAATAATAATTGCTAAGTACAGAAATAATAATTGCTGCAACAGTAATAGATAATTGTTGCATGTTGTGTGGTTTTAAATTCTGTTGAAATATTTCTAATTCCTGAAAAATTAATGACCTGGGTCTTCCATCAAGGAAGTAAATTTCTTTACACGTTCTTAATGTCGCTCATTACATTTTCAGTTTCACTAAACTTGAAATGATGTGGTTAATAGCATTCATAGTCGGATTACCTGTTTGGACATTCCGTGTGGTAACAAGGACTTGGACACAAGTAAGAACCAATTTTCCCCCATTTACTTGAAATCTGTGTTTTTTGCATGTGTATCATGTCGTTGTTTAACCGTAGCTAATGGGCCGAGTTTCTTTGAAAGATAAATTTTTAAAGTTAATCAATTTAATAGTTTTTTTAAGTTAATTTTAAAATTGCAAAGTTGAGGTGTTTTTTAATCTTCGAAATTCGAAATTTTTACTTTTAATAGACCTGAAAAGTTATAATGAGAAGAGCGCACTGTTAACAGTTAGCTGAAGACACCTTGCCTGAAAAACACTAATTTTGGGGGGGGGGGGAGATGCATATATATACACTTCCTGTTGGCAAATTTTAAAATGTTAGCGCATACAATGCTAACAGTTTTTATCTCTAACATAATTAATTGAATTTTATCTAATGAAAGTCATTTTAAGTGCTTGAATTGATAAATTCATTGTACAAAACTTAACTATGCTGTATTTTCTGCATTTCATATAAGGGTGTTAAACTTTATATTGTGTGAAAAACTTGCATGAAAGTATCCCCTTAAAGCAAATGCTGGTTACTCTTCAGTCAGAAGTACAAGTTTGCCAATTTCTGCTGGAATATTTACTTGGTGACAATTAATAAAGACAATAATCAATAGAGTATAACTTGTTTCAATGTTGAATGAAGAATCTTTTGGCTAACAATACCCAAAGCAGTCTCTGTTTCCTCGGTTGAAGGTGATTCCTTAAATGATACCCCGCAATAATCTACGAATGTCCAATTAGTTTGCCTACTAAGAAAATGACGTTTTAGAGAGCTCTAAGCTAAGAAAACAGAAGGTACTATTCCGTTTTGAGGACCGTAAAAACATTGCAGTGAAAATGTATGCGCAAAAGCGCCAAATCTAGCGTACGCGCAGATTTCAGATTGCGTAAGTTTATATAAGTTTATATAGTTCTGTATTTCTTAAGACGCCATTGAAATACTAGTTTAATTTTTAAATCCTTTTTTGATATCCTATGGATTTAACAATTTGGGAATTGCCCGTGACGAAAAGTCTGCAATAGAATTTTGAGTCAAGTGCAGAATCACCCACTGCTTGACGCGTTTTTAAGAATCGCACATACTCGGTATCCATGTGCACATCGACCTATTTTCACTTTAAAAAAATCTAGAATGCACCACAATGGCACTGCGCACACCCTTGACTTTATCTATATACACAACCGGAGCTATTTTCACTTAAAAGTAAAAGAAAATTGAAAATCCAATTGTTTTTACCCTTCTAAAAATCGGCAACAAATAAGTGGACGATTCTGCCTTTTACCGAGAATTTTTTCATAGAAAGGCATCATTCATTATAGAATTACGTTTTGAAAACCACGAGATGAAATTAGCTTTAGCGATAACTCGTAGCGAATAGAGATGCAAGAATAGAGATTCAGTTATGTTTGTAATTTTTATAATTATAAAATGATCTGAAATAGTTTTTACTCTTGTGCTTCCATTCAGTTATATTTCGACTTTTATATAAATTATAATATAAAAAAGTATTATACGAAATTAACATTTCATCTAAATTAAAACATCAATCTTAAATAGTTATTTACTATTTATTAGTTCTTTCTCTGGCGTTAGGGTTTCGCAATTATTTTTGGCAGCACTGGCATCAACAATAGTTTGGCGATTTTTTACGGCCCTCAAACCGAATAGTACCAAATGGTGGTGTGGTGTGGTGTATTTAATATGCAAAGCACACTAGGGCTATCTGCTAAGGGAGGATGCCTTCTTGGAGAACTTTCTAAGGGAAAACTGGCTCGTATAACGTTACACATGGGGAAACCAACGAATACACCATGCTGCCAGCCCTTCGCGGGATTCGAACCTCGGACCGAACTACCAGTGTTCAGCGGACTTTACCGCTAGGCCTGGTGGGGCAGTACCAAATGAATTTTAAAATTTAGTTTAATATTAAAAATTGAATTTTTAATTATAATAAGAAATAATATAAACGTTATTAAGTTTGCGAATTTCGGTCGTAATATTTACTTGGGGACAATTAATAAAGACAATAATCTATAGTATATGATAACTTGTTTTAATATTGAATGAAGAATCTTGTCGCTAACAATCGCCAAAGCAGTCTGTGTCTTCTCGGTTGAAGCTCAACCGCAGATATCCCTTAAAGGATACCCCTTAATAATTTACAAATTAAAATTTTATCTCGGATAATTTGTGACATCTCTAGCTGGCTGAAAGTAAAAACAATGATATTTAAGTATCTAATTAGTTAGTCTAGTAAGAAAAGGATATTTTAGAGAGTACTAAGCTAAAAAAAATTTTTAATTTAGTTTAATATTAAAAGGAAAATTGAATTTTTTAATTATAATTAGATATAAAATTACCGTAATTCATACCGACCAGAATGTGCTTCTTACCTTTTCGTCGGTGTTTAATAAAAAAGTGGTTAATATAGATCGTTTGCTGGTAATTGCCATTCCGGGAAATCGTAATGTTTCCGTCAATATTTGAAAGAATGTAAATTCATAAATACGATGAAAATTAATGATTAGGAATTTTACTAGAATAATATATTATACCCATCAAACTTAATTATCTTTAGCAGTATTCAACGTTCAGTATTCAAGCACTGAAGCAGAATTCTCGCTGACTTTTGAATCAGGCTTAGGCAAAAACTTGTGCGAAAGTTTTTGTTTTTCTTCCAATGGGGGGCCCTCAGCCGACTTCGAGTTGGCCACAATTAAGGCCAGAAATTGTGGTCACTTTATTATGGAGACACCTAACAGGTGAGCCACCTTTGGTTCCTATGAAGGGACGGACAGTTACAACCGTGCCTTCTCCGGGATTCGAACCCGAGCACTTTGGTATCGCAGTCGACTTTCCTGACCACTATACAAGTATTTATTAAACTATGGGTCGCAAATCGGAATTTCAATTCGATAGTTGAATTTAAAGAAACTGCATTCATAAGACTTTTTCGTTAATTGACATTAATGAGATTAGACTTATTAAGACATTACATTAACATATATTAATGAGATTAATTACTTGTTAGCTTTACAAATTCTTTTTCATTTTATATATCTAGCGATTCAAACGTAACACTTGAGTTCTCACGAAAATCTTCTTCTTCTTGAATTTTGGATAGGAGTTAGAACTCAAATTTCTCGTTATTTCTGAAATGGCATTAAATGTTCTCTCATTCAGCACCACACATTTTTATAAAACTAGTTTTTCAGCTTTAACGCTATTTGAAACTAAATGTCTTTCAATAGTGAAATATGTTGAAGATGCTTTATGTCCAGCAGTCTCAAATATCGCACCAACATTTAATTTGTTATGTAGCAGAAAACGAGCACATCTATCTCATTAGTTCTTCAATTTTTGCTTGCTTCAAATAAATCCTAAAATACTTCTTTTTATATGTATATTGTTTACCAAAGAAGTAAATTATTTACGGGATTTTTATATCTTTATTTTATATTTAATATCTCGGGTCGCGAAAAAAGTCTGACAAAAAGAGGTCGCGATTGAAAAAAAGTTTAAGAAAACCCTGCACTATAGTGTCTGAGTGCCTGCGCGAAAGTATAGTCATTAAAAGATATGATTCGGCATAGCCATTGTAAAATTACGAAGTTTATTCAAAGCATAACTGTTGTAAAAATGTTTTATAAGGTAGGCAGAGATAGAGATTTTGGTAATTTATTAGTTTAAAATACGTATGAATTTTCCTTAAATGTATTCTATCAAATTTTGAAAATCGTTGCAAGAACGTGTATTACAAATACTGCTTTACTAGGATTTTTTCTCAGATTGTGTATAAAACCGAATTGTTAAAAAATTGCTCATATCTTAACAATTTTCTATTTGGGCTCAAATTTGCAATTTTTCTTTGAAAGGGTATTAATGAAAATTGAAACAACTAACAACTTCAACTTTCATTTCGAGATTAAATAACTGCCGAACCTGTTTTAAGAAAAATTTTCTCGCACACTTAATTTCCGATTTAAACCATCATCTGAATAATTTTGCTCTTCTACTGGGGCGATTCACGAAATTCAAATTGCGTTCTTCATGTCTCGAAAGCGCGACTTAGGATATATATTAGATTTATATATAGCACTATTTTAACATAGGTATTTTGACACAAAATCGGACTTTTCTGAAATAACATACCAAAGTTTTTACATATTCGATTTTACGACGACTCAAATTATGCCAGAAATACCAAGTTTTGTAAAATCGTACGAGTAGTTTTAAAATATAGCTCTCAAAATTTTAGCTCCTCAAGTTAATTGAATTTGGCAATATTTATTTATATCTCTTTTTTATTAACTTTTTTATTTTTCTCTCACATTTCGAATTTTAGTTCATTCCAAATAAAATTTACCATTTTTGTGTTTTAATTTTTTAAAATTTCTATTTTTAAATAATTTTATAAATTTTTTTCGAAAAAATTTTGAATTATAACCTATAAATTTTTACCATCATCTAAAGTAGGTATATTTTTAAGAATATCTGCAAAAAATTAGACTTTTTTATTCAAAATTTTCTAAGATATACACAAATTTACATATTTTCGCGGTTTGAAATTTGGCATCGTTTTTTGAGCGATAATAACGCCAAATGTGATCTATGGATTTTTGTCACACTGTATTGCACAGCTATTTTTAACCTTAAATTTCAAGTAAAATTTTACGGAGAATTAATTATATGACATTTTTTCCCACAATAATGCGTAATAAATATTTATTAATACTATATGAAAAGCTATTTTTTAAATAATTTTTTAATATTTTTTTTTAATTTCTCTCTCTCTCTCTCTCTTTTTTTTTTTTTTTTTGTTTGTTTAAATAGAGTAATTTTAATAAGAGTAATTTTTTAATAAGAGTAAATTTTTACCTTCGCCCGTTTTATCGTCTGCTACTTTACTTCGCTTAAATCGAATAGTCTAAAACTGAGAATTTTTCGTTTGATGTTTATTTGAATTTATGACATTAACTGCACTATTTATTTCTAAATAAACTGATGCTTTTGAAGTGGCTGAAAGAGCGGCTGGTACTATCATCCATATTTTTAAAGCACACTATATTTTTATAGAACATAAGATTTAGAATAATCATTTTATAAAAGTCAAATTATGATATAAACATACAACCCTCTAGAGACTGAATTAATGGAAGTTCAATGGTTATGTAGAAATGATCTGCACTACTTAAATCCGGCTGGATAAGTCAGCAGATTCTGTGGACAAGTAAGAATAATTATATAAACGACACCCAACATTCTGAATTCAATTAACAACGAGGATACGATGTTTATTAAATGAATTCAAGAAGTTTTAAAACATAAAAAATCAACTCATTTTTATCCTAAAATGTATTTTTGTGCGTAGCGTATTTTCCATGATTCTAATTTAAAATTCTAATAATCTTAAAATTCTAATTATTGTCAAGAACTGATTCCTAATCATCAAGTAATATAATAAGTAATTATTACGGTTTATTAATATATCCTTCTTATAAAGTAATTGCAATATTTCAAAAAACTTTCTGTCTGAATGCAAATATTTTTTGTGCAAATATTGTTAATTTTATATTAATCAAGATTGCACATGATATTATTTATTTGCACTTCAATTTAAGTCAGTTCTAGTAGAAGTTACAAATCAATTATATTTAATTAAGGATTGGATTGGATTGGATTGGATTATTTAATATGGCCAAAGCCACACGGGGCTATCTTCCTAAAGGGAGGGACACCTTCGTGGAGGACTTTCTAAGGAAAACTGGCTCGTATACACGTTACACATCGGGAAAACCACGAAAACACCCATGCAACCAGCCCGTTCGCGGGATTCGAACCTCGGACCGAACTACCAGTGATCAGCGTCATTACCGCTCGGCCGTTTGTGGGCCTTAATGAAATGGAAGGCGATAACTTTATTTAAAATGATTGTCAGAAATACCAAAATGTTTTGAAAAGTTGGATACTTTTTAATATGCTTTCAGAATGCTTAAAGAAAAAGAGAAGAAATAAATTTTTTCGTAAAATTTAGTATTTGTATTTTTTTTTAATTAAAACTTTCAATCTTATTATATTTGATTCTTGCGATTTCAAAAATAAAATATTTGACTAAAATATGAATAACATTTTTAAGAAACCAAATGTAGGATAAATTGTGTAAAGCAATGGGCACAATGATAAACTGTTTAAAGCAGTGTATGCAAGTCATCTAAGTTAAAATGTCGTTATACATCTCTCTTATTTATATATATCTTTTCTGAACGGACATGAAAGGCGTGTAAAAATGCGCTTTACTGTATTTCTCTTTTAATATAGTATGCAGTTTCCATACGCATCGTAGTCTGGGTTGCAAAGTATTCTTCCGAAAGAAACGCAGTTCAAATAAATAAAATCAAATTCTGGAAAATTGATATTAATAAATATATTTAAAATGTTAATGTCATAAAATTCATTTAAAATGCTCAGTTCGAAGGAATAAATAGAAAATTTTAAATCAATTATCTGAAGAGACAATGCAACACAAACAGTTAAAATAAAAGTATAAAAATTTAAAAAGTACTAAAATAATAACTATGACGAAAAATATATATAAAGAAAACTATTTGAAAAAAAACAGCTGCACTTTATTTACGCAGCAATAGGTAATAGAAATTTTTAAACAGTTTATTCGAAAAAAAAAAAAAAAAAAAAATAAAATGAAATTCGAAAAGAAAAAAAGAAAAATTACTTAAATAATAAGTTATAATTAAAAATATAATATAAAGAATATTATTTTGAAAAAAAAACATGGTGACGTTTTTTCCTCTCACGAAAAACTAGGTTGCCATATATTCAGAAGTTCGCCAAGTGAAGTATTCTTGGCGCAAACTGACAAAAAATTGCCAACATAAATCTGTGAATTTCTCCGTAAATTTCGCTCTCCAAATTTTACAAAATTTCATATTTAGGCGTAATTTGAGTCGTAGAATCGAAATAAGTAAAAAAATTGGTATGTTATTTCAGAAAAAGTCCGATTTTGTGTCAAAATACCTATGTCAGAAATTTGCTATATATAAATCTAATATATATACTAAGTCGCGCTTTCGAGACATGAAGAAGGCAATTTGAATTTTGTCAATCGGCCCAGTAGATAGGAAGATATAGGACTGTCGCATTTTTTTTTTTTTTTTAGCAGTGTACATTTTTCTAATTTACACCTCTTTAACTAGCTACTTTCCAACTGGTTAAAACTTCTAAATATAAACTTCGCCCACCAACAGCCAAGCGGTAAAAGCCGCTAGATACTGGTAGTTCGGTCCGGGGTTCGAGCCCCTGCGAACGGTCTGGTTTCATGGGCGTTTTCGTGGTTTTGTGTAACGTGGATACGAGTCAGTTTCCCTTAAAATGACATCCACAGGGCATCTTTCCTTTTTCGTGTAGTGTCTAAGAGCAGACACGTAATAAGTTAAAAAAAAAAAAAAAAAAAAAAAAAAAAAAAAAATCAACTTGGTCCTGAATTCAATTCTTAAGGTTGACTTAAAAGATATCTTGTTTCCAGCTTAATAAACATTAGTTTAGAGAAGTCCTGTTCTTCAATTTTATTCTTAATAATTTAAAACTACCACCCACCCCAAATTTCTTTTCAAAAACTGTGAATTTTTCAGCATTTAATTTTTTTAATTAAAATTTTTTTTTTATTTTTTTAATGTGCTCAAATATTATAGCTTTACAATATCAAATTTGTTTTCAGCTTTCATCTTGGATTATTGAACACTTCCAGCCATTTTCCTGTGCGGACTGCCCCTTCGTGCAGCTAAGAAGGTTAACAAGGCAGCAATACCAGAAGATGCGAGACATTCAGATTCGCCAGAGAATCACAGCACAGGCAACAATTGGTAGAATAAGACTGATAGCGTCACATTTCTGTACAAGTTCCAAAATCAGCTTTGCGGATGTTTTCAGATTCCATTATATAATCTTCAAGGCTACGAAAGAAGTGTTATACTTAATATTTCTTAGTGCCTGGTTAGAGGAATTCCGCATTATATACACTTTCTTGCGCAGACTTACATAGATTGCTTATAAACTTAATAATATTACAATCACCTAAATTTCACTTTTATCGAATTTTGAGAAAAATGGATACAAATTAGATGTGCATTAAAATTTCTAATTAGTTGAATCTTCTCAGCAACATTTTAAATCTTGAATGCTAATTTCTAGTTCATAATTAATCTTATATTTTTACTTCTTTATTATTCATTTTATTTATTCATGCATTTCTAATAAAAATAGTTCAAAAACTGGTCTCTTCATTCTAAGACGAAAGGTGAACTGATATAGCAGTATACTGTTTATCTTCGGACTCAGCAGAAAAGACAGAAATTCTACTGCTAAGCAATGCTTTATGGAGCTAAAATCAATAACTGAGTAAGATTATTCGAACTTGTACAAAATATCTCCTCTCCAGTATGTTGGTATCTAATCCGAGTTAGGAAAATTTGGGAGCTTCCTTAAAGAACTTTGTTTCATTTAAAGATTTTTTTCCAGTGTAAAAGAGCTTTTTACGCCTTTCACTTAATTTTATTTTCTATATTACTGAGTTACTATATTTTAATGATATTGTAAAAAATATTAAGTCTCCAATTTTCAGATTGGTTCACTATTTTACGAGCCCACTAATGAATGAGGCCGTTGAACATTAGTAGTTCCCCCCTCACCCGACCTCAAATCTTTAGAACCGGCAATTTGTACGGATTTTTCTTGATTTTACCCTTGGTAATCCATGATAAGATATATAGTCTCCGCGTGTTTAGCGTTATACGGCTAAATAAGCATTAGTACAACGGATAGCTCCTTTAAGTATACAATGACTCTCACCATTCAAGCATACACTTGACAACTATTTGGTTTTTAAAGGTTTTGCACACTTCTGCACTTTTTTTTTTTTTTTTTTTTTGATACTCTTATGCCGGGCTGTCGGTGTAGAGCACCCGACGTTGCCGGCTCTATAACTAAGTATCCCAATAAGGCACAAGACGTTGAACAGTCTGGACGTGCAGTGAGAAAGCGTCGGAAATGGGAAAAGTAACAGAAAAGTTCTTGGTTTTCTTTCTTCTTGTGACCAGCTGGTCACAAGAAGAAAGAAAACCAAGAAAGCCGCGCGCATGGAGAGGGTAAATACGAGTGGCTGTCTGGTAGTGTTGGTATTATGATAAGTGGGTGGTTAAGACATGAGAATAAGTCTGAGAAAAGTTTTATTATCTAAATCAGATATCGTAAGATATAAACATACAAATACATGACACATAATAAAAGATACAAATGATAGAATATAAACAATATACACTATATACAATTTACACTATTTACAGGAGAATCCGTGAAGCGAATTAAGTAGTGAAATTATCGTCTCGGGTGAGGTGCGCCGCGTAAGGTCTGATGCAACTGTCTTCTCTCAAAGGTAGATAGTCAAAAACTTTAAAATGACGTAAAAAGTCGCATTGTATGGCTTTGTCGAACGATAGCTTTATTTATGGAACGGGTCTGGAACTTTTCGCCGTGGCCATTTCACCGTGGCCGTTTCGCCGTCGGGACGTATCGCCGTCAAGACATATTTTTCTTTTACATTATTGTATTTTATCTTGCCGTATTATACTCCTATTAAATTTTATTTAGTTAAATAATTCTGTTTACCTTTTTCCTTTTGTATACTTAATAAAGGTTGCTTTTACTATATATAGTTATTTACAAATATGAGATATAAAGAAATTACACATAGTTGGGAAATTATGTCGGTATCAAAGAAAACTGGGGCTAAATTTCTGATGTAACAGAAGTTATATTATCGATTTTAAAATTATGCGGGAACAATATTTATATAATTCGGCAATTCTAATCAGCTTGTTCAGAGAAATCACTCATACAAGCCGAAAATTCACATTTTTATGAAATCTGAATGGAAAACTGAATTGCTTTGGAATCTGTCAGCAGATTACTTAGATTTAAAACTAGCATGCCATTTGTAACGGTGTATTTGTATAAAACCGTACATAAAATTATTAAAATAATTGAATTACTGTACAAATTGAATTAAATTATTAAACTAAACAGAGTTATTAGTTTAAATCAACTTGAAATAATACGGCAAGATATAATCCAGTTAAGTAAATCCAGTTAAGTATATGTGTTGACAGCAAAACGTCCCGACGACGAAACGGCCACGGCGAATAGTCCCATTCCCCATGTAACTGATCATGTGTGCGTAGTATATAGCATTCTGTCGAGTAATATTTCATCTTGAGTGCATACATTTGTGAGAGCGATAACTAGGTGAATCCTGGAAAAATGCATTTGTGTTTAACTACCCCGTTTTTATTTTAGAAAAATACTAACAGAAGAGAGTTGTATTTAGTTTTCCTGTTTGCGAATGAGGGAAAAAAAACATGAAATTGAGATGTTGCTAATCTCATTTTTACCGTCAAGATAAGTCTACTTCGTATTATGCGTATTACATAATACCAGAATCAATTTTAGTGCAGATGCAAAAAGTTATCCCAGAAGAGTTGAAGAAATATATTTCTTCAACTCTTCTGGGATAATTTTTATATCTAGAAATTATTTTTGTGCCTATGAAAATAAGGAGGGAATAAAGGTTAACCTATGAAAAAAGAAGAAATAGAAAAAAGAAGACTAGAAAAAAGAAGAAGTAGAAAAAATACCTAGGGTGGTTTCTTCTTTTTTCTTTTTTCTATTTTGTGCCTATGAAAATAAGGAGGGAATAAAGGTTCTACTTCTTCTTTTTTCTACTTCTTCTAAAGTACTTGATTGCGATAAGAGTTTGCAGTTGTAAAAGTAAACATTTCGTGCTTATTAATCCCAGGGAAAAGGCTGATTGGATATTTCGTGATTTTTCCTTTTTTTTTAACAAATGAGTTTCGTTTATAAATTCCTACATGAAGACATTCTTTCTTAAGAAAGAAGGCCCTTGCATACCTTGCCATAATTGTATAAAGAATGACCAAACCTCTCCCACTTACTTTTTATAATCTTCCTTTCACTCTATTTTGTTTCGAGCGGTAAACTCGCTGAACACTTTTACTTTGACATTGTTTCGATTCCAGGCAAATGTGCTGGTTGCATGGTTTATTTTCGAGGTTTTATCCATGTGTAGCGTTTATATCAGCCAGTTTTCATCCACTGAAGCATCTCTTCCTTCAGGGAGTTAGCTTTTGTGTATCTTGCCATAATCAAAATAAACCGCACTTAGTCTGGTGTTCAACGGCTTTAACGCTCTGTCATTAATGAGCGATAATTATTCCTTTCTGACCCCATTAAGTCTAAAATTTGCTGCTTATTTACTGACATAGTAAACTTGAGAAAATAAATAATTCCCACTACCTAATTTTGATTTTTAATCTGTACATACAAAGGATTGGGTTATTGGGATTATAACAAAGCACACTACAGCTCTATATGCCTAAGAGGAGATAAATCTAAAAGGCCTTTCTGGAGGATTTGTTTTAAGAGATTAGTTCATATTACTAGATACATACGGATAAAATCATGAAAATTCTCATTCAGCTAGAATATTAGTACGGATCGAATCCAGTGGATCCAATAGCGGCCGAGCGGTGTAAAGTCGCTGCACACTGATTGATTATTCGATTGGAACGTGAGCGAACGGGCTGGCTGAATGGGCGTTTTCGTTGATTTCCTCGTGTGTAACGTGGATACGAGCCAGTTTCCCTTAGAATGTCCTCCACGAAAGCATCTCTCCTTTTAGGCAGGTAGCCCTCACTTGCTTTGCCATAATGAAACAAAGTAAACGAAACTCTTCATTCCAGTCTGCATTAAGCTTATTGGTAGTTCAGTTGGCGATGAGTGGAGATACCTGGTCTTTACCAATGGTAGACCTTTTTATACTACTGTGCATAGGTTTAAATGTGTAAATTTTGAAATACATATATACATGAAAGAGGCAACAAAATTCAACGTGCTAAAAGTAAAATTCATAAACTCCAATTCCTGGATTCGGTAAAGTTTGAATTTATGAATGTTTGGTCGAATTTTATACCGAAAAGAGCAACACAAACTCAAAATTTTGTGATCGGCTTCTTACGCAAAAGGTGCATTTTTTTTACGCCTTTTGCCAAATTATTCTACAAAGCGGCCTTACTCAACCAACTGAATACTTCCATTATAATAATGAGTATCGGAACCAGATTTTATTATTCTATGAATATCTTCACCCACCCAGTGGCCAAGCAGTAAAATCACTGAGCTCTGCTGGTTCGAATACCAGTGAACGGGGTAACTGTACATGAGAGGTTACGTTATTTGAACGTGGCAAAGCCACTAAGGCTATCTGCATATGAGGAGGGATGCCTTCGTCGAATACAAACCATGCAGCCAGCCCATTTGCTTGGGTTCGTAACCAAATTTTGTCGAATTACCAGTATTTAGCAGTCACCGCTTGGCTGCTGGTGGAGCGACTGCATGAGAGTTTTCGTGGTTTTTCCCATGTGTAACTTGCATCTGAGACAGTTTCGCTTGAAAAAAAGTTCTCCTGAAGGCATCCCTCCCCATAGCCAAACAGTTCTCAAGCTACTTCATCTTAATTAACCTAACCATAAATATCTGAAATATGAAGATGTCTAATTTGACAGCATTCCATCTGCAAACTGTTTGGCCAAAGAGATGTGCGACGAAAATGAAGTGAGATTTCCAAAGCATGATTAGATTTTTATTCACTTTTACCTCTCGATTTGTCTAGCGAATTTGATTGTTTAATCAATTAATGCAAAGCGTGCATGATGGCCCACCAGCCAGCTGAACGATAAAGTCACTGAACCCTGATCGTTCGTCCTGGGTTCGATTCCATGTGAACGATTTGAATGCATAGACGTATTCGTGGTCTTCCTCGTGTGTAACGAACCAGGATACGAACCAGTTTCCATTAAAAAGGTTATCTACTAAGGCATCCTTCCCTTAGGTCAGGATTTCTTAAACTATGGATCGCGAGACCTGCAGCAGTTTTAGCAGTTTTGATATTTCTTTAAAACTCATTATAATAATTTTACAATTACCAAATATTTTTGCACTATGTATCTGAAAATAGATCAAGATAATGCAATACAGACGAAGAAAAAAACGAAAACGTTTCTATGAGTTCTTTTTCTAATATAAGCGTTCATTTTCCTTGCATTGCACGTGACGCTGTCATTTGCTCTGTTACTTATTGAAGATTTTCACAC